TGTGCAATAAGACATTAGAAGCGAAAAGCTGTACTGTATTTTGTATGGTGCCACCAGAGACGTCGTCACCAAATATAAATCAGAGGTAAGACTTTCTCACACAAAGCAGTTGGCTTACGCATTATAAGCTTTACATTATAGAGAGAAATAGCAGATAAACCAAGACTGTAGTTCGGTCAATTTTCCTAACTATTAACAGCTCTCGTTAATAGTTCAGCATGCTCCCACTTTCGCATTTGACATGAAACGCACATTTATCGGTAGGAATGACCTCCCGCCCTACTCATAATTCTCTCTTCGTATAGCCATATATGCCTATTACATATCCATAATAAACTGTGATATTCACCTTATTCTCCGTTGACGAGTGGGCGCTGCCATCTGAATCTTTTTGGCTTGAGACTTCCGGTCTCATTCACTTCCATTCATTTTTTGACGTTAAAAACTGTTCATTACGCTGCTTGATATTGCAATTTGATATTTTCTTATTATATTATTCTACTTGGTCTGTATAGTCATGCAAACATTTGTTTGTAGAGCAAGTAGTTTGACCGTTTATTATTCCTAGTCATTTCTCTCATAGGCGACTGAATCGGAAGTTCTAAGACAATCGCGAAAACAGGCGCACTTCCGCATTTTAGAATAAGGTCAATAGCCTGGCTTGGATCGCATTGCTTTCTCACTAGAATCAATCTGCTCCAGAGTTCGTTTCAATCAAGCCGAGACCACCTCATTCAGGTGATCTTGGACCGATTGTATTGGCACGGATTCGAGTGCGATTGCTGGATTCACATATGCCAAACGAACAGTGCTAACTGGGGAAATGCGCCAGGTTCCAAAACAAAAGTCTTGTTGTGAAAGCACCCTAAATGCGGCTGAATGACATTTGTCCTGGGAGCACTGTACAAATGTGTCACCGCTATCGATGTATACTTAAGGTCTGAAGGCGATATCTAGTGTTTATCTATGCATAGCTTCTATATGACATCACTAAGCCAGTCTGGTATAAACGTCTAACTCATGTGAGCCAATCAGTCATGACATATCGATATTGATATCACCACATATACATGTCACATGATTTTTTGTTTCTCGTGATTTTTCCTGTTAATTAAATTTTTAAAAAATATTTTCCCCCAAATATTTTAATTTAGGTGTACTTTTGTCTGGACTGTGATCTTTCCAGATTAGTTTTGTTAGATTAGTTCCAGGTTAATCTAATGTATGCACAAATAAATTATTGTAAAGCATCTTATAGAAAGTTTTCATTTAAAAGAGCGATCTGTGAAGGGTGGACTCGGATCACTGTATGTAATTTCATTTGATTAAATTAATATGTATTCTTAGACCATAGGATTCATATTTTAGGGTTTGCTGTTTCAGTAGACACACGTGAATTTAATTCAGTGTGGCTCAATTCTATTCAATGAATATGACATGAACAAGATGTTGCTAGATATTGTACAGCATGGTATTGCTTTGTGTCTTGTTATGTTTGATAAGAAACAAAGACTAATCTTACAAATTCCTCCGCATTTAATCAGGGAATTCAAACAATAACTGTTGTTTTCTTTGTTGATTTCAATTGCTATTGTCGGAGTTGTCAAATGAATCTTTTGTTGTTCTCAAGAGCATCTTTTTCATCAACTCTTGATCTGCACTATTCTCTTTTACTCCATCTAAAATATGCATCTAAGAAATGTGCAGTTTGTTTTTAAAGATAGGAGATACAATAAGTAGACAGTAGACCACGGTTTAGACAAAAGAAAAAAGACAGAAAAGGCATCACATTGCTTACAGTACCAAATTATTACTTTTGTGGACTATTTTAAGTTGAGTTCCACACAATTGATTTCTGTTGAGGTGAACATGAATTGGGTTAGCTTATTAGTTTTTACAAATTTAAGTGGATTGAACATAAAACAATTAAGCTGTCTCAAAAAACCTCAAGAATTGAATGTTATTTTAAAATTATTGAATGTTATTTTCAGCTTAATTTAAATAAATAGTTTGAATAAGCAGCAAATGTATTTTTAGTGTAATGAAGTTAGTTGAGGATTTATTGATTTTCAAAAATGTAAACAAAATATGTGTGTGTATATTTAATTCTATATTATAAATCAGTATATCTTAATAATGTCCTGGAGGACCACCAGCTCTGCACATTTTCCATGGGTGTTTGTCAATTCCAAGAACGGACTTGTGTTCTCATGGAGACCGTTCTTTCTAGGTCACCCCAGACGAACGAACTCGGGAGACCGCGAGAACAGAGAATGCATCTTGTGAGAAATGAGATGCTGCGTTCTTCTTGATGTTCATGTGACTTTTTGTGTTTTAATTGGAAAATTGTGTAAAAATTACAGCATCTCTACATGCCTTTACATTCATTTCACTTTTAGTGTGTCGTGTATGAGCTTGCTAAATAATCATGAGCAAATGGGTTGGGGTTTCATAGTTTTATAATAGTAGTATAAGTTAACGTTAGATCCTTAAATAATCTGTTCAAAGAATGGTTAAAGCAAAAGCAACCGGTGCTGCTTACAAAACGACAAATCTGGAACTCTTGAAAGCAGCAGGACTGCGGGTGCTTGTTCATCACTTTTTGTCAAGTCTATTTGAAAGAGAATCAAGTCACGTTTAACTTGTGCCGCTTCATTCACGCGAATTGCGTCATTCGTGCCGCAGGATGTCTATTCCTGCCTTTGCATTGACTTAACATGTAATTCACTTGATCGCTGAACAAGATCGCTGAAGAATGCATATTGAGAAACAGCCCATTTCTCCTTACCCAAACACACCTGATTCAGATCATCAGCTCATTAACAGTGACTAAAAGATCTGTAATGCGTGTGACAGACAAATGAGACATCAAAATATGCAGTGCTGGTGGTCCTTCAGGAACATGGTTGAGAAACACTGTTCTAAATCTATATTTAATTTAAATATTTAAATGAATTATAGCAATATAAATTAAATATATGTGTGTACAAATTAGTCTACCTCAAAATCAATCTGGTTTTCAAACAAAAACTGCTTGAAAGTCTCACAATTAATTACAAAGAACTAACGTTGAATTAAACATGACATTTTAAAGTAGAAAGACTGAAATAGTTCTGTAAAATCTACTCCAGCGCTCAATGGAAAATAATTTTCAGAAGTGTTGAGGGTTCAAAAATGATAGCCTTGAATCTTTAATCTGAAGTGTTTATCAGAATGCATTCATTACGGCTGTAATCGTGATTTGAAAAGCTCAACAATCCGGCAACCTTCACATTCAACAGTGAGTTTGATCTGAAAGACTCTGTTTGGGGAGGGAGAATCTGGGTCATTTTCTCGCTCTCTGTTCTGCACACTATAAGCATGTTGAACAGTCCGTGCGTAGGTTGATCGCTCAATTTTTAATCTGCGAGCTCAAACACACACACAAATTTGCACACAGACACACCTGGGGTGATGGAAGTGGACCGTGGAAATAGGACATAAAAGCCGTCTCTCCTCCACACAGGGGAAAAAATAACAGTGTGAAAGAGTCCATAGCTGCAGCTCTCAAGACAATTACACACGCTCTTTAAACCCAATCAGGCTTTGCTGTATGAGACAACATCCCTTGCTTTGAAGTTGTAACTGAGACGCTACCAATCGCCCCCAGATAGCCCAACATTAACCCTGACTGCTCCTGTAGACACTGGCTTAGATATGTGGGGATGTTACTAATTAAAGCGTTTAGCACTATTTTTATTGGTAGTTAGGGGTGGGCAATATTTATTATTGTCACTCAATTTGAAAAAAACAAAACAAAAAAGAAGGATTTTAAAATTTTCACTCACCATCTGCTGATTCTTTGCTCTTGCGGCTTCCAGAGCCTTTCTTCAACATGCTACGTCCCGAAGAGAACAAGTTGCTGAGCTCATCCAAAGGACTGGTTGGCGTACGACATCCTCGACCTCCTGACCCTGAGCTTGAACCCGAAGCAGTGGAGACATTTTGCATGGAGCCCCCGTGCACACTTGAAGAATTTGACAGCCGCCCGCTTTCACGGGATCCGTGAGGAACTCCAGATGCGCTGCGAGGAATCGTCCCGGTCATGAGAGCGTCGTACGGCGGGGGACGCTTCAGGGTGAGTGGCGTTAAAGCACGACCCATACTGACAGGTGACGGACAAGCAGAGTGGCTCCGCGGATAACCGTGCGCTGCGGAAGACCCACCGCTTTTATACAGCGCAGATGTTAGAGGTGGAGCAGACGACCGTCCCGATGCTGTAATCGTTTGTTGTTCCTTAGTCTCGGCTGACTTCTTATGGTGATGATGGTGGTGGTGGTGGTGGTGTTTACCAGACACCTGCTGCTGGGCTTCTGGCTGTGGTTCAGTGCCAGTTGGGGATGCACCGGGTTTCACAATTCCCACGTTATCAAACATGGGCAGTTTGGTGACATCCAATGGAGTAAGAGGAGATTCGTCAGAATTAGGGGAACATTGGGCTGGCGCAGGTGGGAATACAAGTAGAGGTGGACGATGGGAAAGCAGATTTGGGAACGGGGCTGGAATATCACAGAGTGAACCACGTGGCGTGGTAGGTCGAGTAAGTTCTACTTCTGGCACCCCAGGTGTGGGACACTGCTCCCATCGTGACTGTCCATGGTCTAAAGATGAAGGTAGGTCATCATAGGCAGGGTATTTCATCTCCTCATACACACTTTCCCCTTGGTCGTCCTCTTCGTCTCCATTTGCTCCAGCAATCCGACTGAAGTCTCGTAGGATGTTCCCCACCATCTCTATATAAACAGGCTCCACCTCATCGTCAGTGTCAGGGGCGGGGCTTTGATTCTGAGATGCCGACTTCTTTTTGCTCACTCGCGGCAGAGAGGCAGATTTACCTTTGCTGCTGTGGTGTTGAATGTAAGACTCATCAAAAGATGTGCTGAGCTGGGTGTTGGGGTTGCGCTTGGGTTTGGGTGGAGGCATGCGTCGGTACTCCTCACTGCAGGGGCGGGATTTGGATGCTGTGGGTGAGAGAAAGAAAATGTTTTAGTTAAATGTAGCCACAGCATTTTAGGAGACCAACACAACTGTCTGTTGAGCAAAGAATGAAGGAAAAAAGTTCAGCAAACATTAAATCTGCGTAAATCTGTAATTAAAACCAGACTAATGCATGGTTTAAAGATGATCGGAATCAAATTTGGTGAAATCTGGACTAACGATTTAGTATTTCTATAAAGTAGAAATGAAATGAGAAAAGAAATGAGACGATACTAAATCTAATCAAAAACAAATTATACTTTTTCCACACAGGTGGCGCTGTTTCTATATTTTTTGCACATCAGTTCAAGATTCCAAAGAAGCAGGAAAAGTTCAGCCAAAGTTAAATCTGCGTAAATCTATATTTGAAACCAGGCTAAAGACACATTACACTAAGTTTAGAACTTTGAATAAATTAAGGCCCAATTCCAGTTCTATTTTTGTACCCCTACCAATTTCCCTAGGCCCTCGAAACAAAGTGTGAAGGGGAAGGGCTTCAAATGTACCCCTAAGAAATGGGGGCAATACCTGCCTACATCATCATATATTAACATTAACATTTATGGCAAAATCAAAAACAAAACAAATGATTCTGTTTTGCTTCAGATAGCACTGTTATATATATATATATATATATATATATATATATATCACCTTTTATTGGGATAGGACAATAGCCCCTTTCACACAGTGATACCGGTAAATATCCGGAAAATTTCCGGAACGACTTTACCGGTATATTAAAAAAAGCGCTGTTCACACAGGCTAAGACGTTACGGAATTTTTCCGGAAAAGAGTATTCACACATCCATCGCAAAATGCCGGTAAATTCTGACATCATTAACCAGAAATGAGCTGTAAACGGCTGCGCTTGTGTTTATAAACATTTGACTACATTACAAACTCTTCGGATGGATCAGTATTGAGTACAACTCAAATGAAAACATATAGAGGATCACTTTCGCATGTCGAGATGTTCATGATATGTGTGTGTGCTGGCGCTATGGGCGCTCACGGGCACACGCAAAGCTTGAAGGTAAACAAACAACGGCTTATCTTAAACATTTTATCGATGATTATTTACACAGTTAGCATTAAGAAGGAACATAGAAACGTTATCTGACTAACATCTAGCAGCTAAAGGTGTGTGGAAAAATATTCAAAGGCTTTTATTCTCATAAACCGCGCGCACGTGAATGCGTCTGACAGTTCTGATTGGCTAAAGCAGGTGTTTCACGTCAGCACGTTCTAGACGTGGACGCGCTCTTTCCGCCAATCTTCCTTCTGCATTCACACAGCGCAGCATTCCGGCAAATTACCGGTAATGTTACAACTTCTTTTCCGGAAAATAGCCAGAACGAATTTACCGGTATTTTCAAAAAGGACCTGTTCACACATACAACCTTTCCGGAAAATTGCCGGTAATTTTCCGGAAAGGTCTGTATGTGTGAAAGGGGCTAATGGAGATTTTACAGAAATGAAAGTGTGGGGAGCAGAGGTAGGGGAAGGATCGGTAAAGGACCTCGCGGCAGGAATGGAACTCGGGTTGCTGTGAGCACCTTGGTGCTATGTGTTGCGAAGCGCTAACCACTAGGCTACTGGCACCGACCAGATGGCAATGTTTTGATAATTTTCTTGAACTTTCAATAGAAGATTCTAAAGAACGATTAATTTTCACAATAGTACACTATTGCAATTGTACAATATTACATTTATGGCAAAATCCGAAACAGTTCATGTACAGGAAAATTGGGTGTCATTCAACTGCTGCTCTGAATCTTCACTGACCAGTCTTGTGGTTTTTGACCAAACTGTGAAGTTATGATCAAAATTAGCCATTTCCAAGAGATTTTCTGACCACTAGGTGACACTGTGAAATTGCAAGGAACATATTGTGAGGTTAGTAAGAAGGTCATTGTAGTCATGGCGTGTTTAAACAAAGTTCTAGCACTAGTGGTTAGCCAAGTCAGCTTGTGTAAATGATAATGTCAGTGCTGAGCCACGAAGTAATATTTTGGGCTGCACAGGGCCATTACTGCTCTATTGTTCATATGATCGTCTTTTATGCATCACATTTTATTCATTTTGCTCGCATCACATCTCACCACTAGGCTGGCACAGTCACTAATCCTGAATGTGTGCGGTTATGAAGTGAGTTAATAGACTTCTCCCAGGACTTTTAGTGAGAATGGAGTTTAACACTCTGCTTGAGACAGGATTAATTATATACAGTTGAGCTACCAGTGCTGAGGACTGAAGGAAGCAGGTGATGGTCAATATGTGTGCCGCTGTATTAAGATTCAAATGGCTTATATGAAGTGTTCACTACCTCCTGTACACTGAGTAGGGGGTATCTGTATATGAATTCACTTTTTATGACATCTTGTAAATACTGATAAATGTATTTTAACACTGCTACTGCTACTGTTAATAATAAAAATAACAATAACATTTATATTAGTAGTACATATAAATACACAATATAATATATACATTTAAAATAAACAAATATTATAAATGTGTAATTAAAGGTGCAGAAAACATCAGTTATTAATAATGTCATACAAATTTGTATTGTTATAGTTAGTAGTAGTTGTATTATAGTAGTTGTATTGTAAATAAAGGAATCAAAATAAATGCGATTTATAAGAGATTTAAAAAGATATTTTATTAGTAATTTATATACACACACTCGCCGGCCACATTATTAGGAACACCTGTCTAACTGCTCGTTAACACAAATTTCTAATTATGTAGACATGGAAAGACGATCTGCTGCAGTTAAAATCGAGCATCAGAATGATGAAGAAAGGTGATATAAGTGACTTTTAGCATGGCATGGTTGTTGGTGCCAGACGGACTGGTCTGAGTATTTCAGAAACTGTTGATCTATTGGGACTTTCACGCACAACCATGTCTAGGGTTTATAGAGAATGGTCCAAAAAGAGAAAATATCCAGAGAGCACCACTCCTGTCAGCTAAGAACCGGAAACTGAGGCTACAGTTCGCACAGGTTTACCTAAATATGACAATAGAAGATTGGAAAAACGTTGCCTGCTGTGATGAGTCTCGATTTCTACAGCGACATTCAGATGGTCGGGTCTGAATTTGGCGTCAACAACATGGAAGCATGGATCAATCCTGCCTTGTATTAATAGTTCAAGCTGGTGGTGGTTGTGTAATGGTGTGGGGGATATTTTCTTGGCACACTTTGGGCCCATTAGTACCAATTGTGCATCGTGTCAACGCCACAGCCTACCTCAGTATTGTTGCTGACCATGTCCATACCTTTATAACCACAGTGTACCCATCTTCTGATGGCTACTTCCAACAGGGTAACACACCATGTCATAAAGCAAGAATCATCTCAGACTGGTTTCTTGAACATGACAATAAGTTCACTGTACTCAAATGGCCTCCACAGTCACCTGAACTCAATCCAATAGAGCACCTTTGGGATGTGGTGGAACGGGAGATTCGCATCATGGATGTGCAGCTGACAAATCCGCAGCAACTGCGGAATGCTATCATGTCAATATGGACCAAAATCTCAGGAATTTTTCCAGTACCTTGTTGAATCTCATGCCACAAAGGATTAAGGCAGCTCTGAGGGTGAAAGTGAGTGCAACCCAGTACTAGTACGGTGTACCTAATAAAGTGGCCGGTGAGTATATATATACTATATTTTAGAATATATAAATAAACGTCTGGAAACATGGCACTTTTTTGTTATTTTATGCAAACAAATGTCTTCATGACTGTGTCATATTTGGAAGATATCATCAGTTTACAGAATAAAACCAAAAACCTATTTTATTCAAACACATCTATAACAACAGGATAAAACATAAAAACGAACAAGTGATTATAGTAATATGATTATTTGTTTAGTTTACATACAGTATAATTTAAATATAATCAATACATTTTTGTTAAAACCAAAAGAAAAGTCTTTGTGTAGCTTTTATATGGTCATGGACATTTATTTCCACTGCTGAATTCCTTATTAAGATCACTGAGGAGGGCAGTTAGGGGCAACTGAAACACAGCCTGAGCACATTACTGCCAGTACTGTTGATGTCAGCCTGTAGAGCTACTAGGCTTTGCTTTGTGACTGACGAGAGGAGTGCATGGAATAATCAAACAGCCACACACACACACACACACACACACACACACACACACAGACACACAGTGAGTGAGTGAGGCAGAAACTAGGTCATTTTAACTTCATGAATGAATTTCATCCTGACTAATCATCTCAGTGGATAGCGGCTGTTTCAGTTTCTCCTCCGTCCTCCCCCTCTTGTTTACTCACTCGCTCATACTCCATCTTTCTGTCAGTTCTCCCCACATCAGCAAAGGGTAACTTGAGTGACCCGTTTCTTCCAGCAGTGGCCGTGTGTGTGTGTGTGTGTGTGTGTGTGTGTGTGTGTGTGTGTGTGTATTTCTGTTAGTGTGCCTATTGCCAACAGCAAGCGCAAGTAGTAGTTAATGGGGCAGCATGGGATGTATGCTAATTTTTAATCTTGCGTAAAGCTGGCTGAAGCTATAATTACGTCACTCTCTAGAGACTCTGGATGCCTGTGTGTGAGTGTGTGTGAGTGGCTTTATGTTATGTAAAGGACATGACTGGGGTTTATTTCAGCATTGTGGTGGAACCCTGTGACACGCAGATGAAAAAGTCAGCAGGAATGACAAAATGATTTCACTTCTCGTTCAGTGAAAGACTCAGAGATCACAGTGTCTGAGCTGAGTGACAGATAGAGGACAGGGTGCCTTGTGTTCCCTCAGCAAATTTACACACAAGCTTGTATGCCTTAAGAGAGCATGTTTCATACTTATATTATTTATACCTTTAGCTATTACTGCATTGTAAGTCGAAATTCACACCAGAAATCTGTTATTAAGAGCGGAGCACAAATCTAGAACTCGCTAAATTTAAATCTTATTCCTTCATTCATTTTCCTTCGGCTTATTAATG